TGTAGGTTGAGAACCTGTGGGAATATGAATGAAGGCATGACGTCGTCATCACTTGTGATCACTCCAAACACCATGATGATGATGACTGGATTTATCCTCCAACTCTTTCCGAATCCTTTGTACGGTCCTCAGATTTACACGCAAATGTTTGTATTGGAGCTTCCGGCGAGAATTCCAAGCAGTCCTCAAGCCGTTTCCAAATTTCTGGCAAAGTGAATTGCGTCATTGTGTTCTTTGTCTCACAGACGGTGCCCAACTGACGTTACTATACTGTGTAGTCGACGAAATCAAAAAACAATAAACGCGCATGCGCGAAATTAAATACATGAAATGGACATAATTTACTTAGGTGAAACCCAATTTGCAATTTTCGATATCTCATATTCATTCATGTTTAGTGCCCGTAGCCGCACCAAATCACCTAATACGTCACGACATAGTGGATAATGTTGTTTGTGTACGCACTGCCAGGTATTAGGTCCAAAATTACGGGTCGAGAGATCTCTCCCTTTCTGATGAACCCCGGAGTTGCCGGCCACAGGTCATCGATGAAGAGGTCCTGAAAGTGGCCATGGCAACAACCAAACATTTAATGAGCGTGCCGAATACGTCCAGAATTCTGAAGAAACAGTCAGACCTTATCAGTTCCGCATAAGGGAAGGCGTAGAAGTTGAGCAAGTAAGTAGGTACCCGATATACTGTCGGAAGCCCACAAACAATAACGTGTTACAGTCTGTTTCTCGTCACGTTCTCGGGAAAGCAACGCACCGATATTTGATCAAGTACTCACCTGTGAGGAAAAATAGCTCCTGTATGTCTTCCGCTCCTTCTCTTTTATCTTCTCTCTTGCTTTACCTTCCCACCTTTCAATCTAATATATCGCGTATATTGCCTCCAGACATTGATTGTCACCACCGGATCTTGTACATCATACCACAAGTTCCCGTCTGTATCCACGCGATATTATGATCTGTATCTGGTGGACTAGGCGACAAACGGTGTGCTATATGCTGTTACTGACTATACCATAAATATGAACATGTAAACGTAACAGTTGGAACGTGTACAACAGGTAGTGAAGCAGAAGGATTTTGCATTGGTTAATCCCAAGGGTGTACTTTTCTTCTAAGACAATGCTAGGCTTTATGTGGCGCGGGTGGCCAAGGATACCATACAGTGACTTGACTGTGCCATCCATAGATGAAATTAATATCTTCAATTTCCTTGACAAACCCGTTTGTGAGAAATTCTTCGCAAGTGTGACAGATTTGCAAAAGGAACTCATTTTTTGCCTTCAAGATTTTTACAGCGATGGCATTGCGCACCTGGGTACCGATGGTGATCACTTCGAGGATTAACCGTATGTCAAAATTTCTGTCTACCTTTTTATGTAATCTGTCAAAAACGGCAAGGACTTTTTTGTTAGCATGTATTTTCTCAGGTTATATTTAGTGTGAATCTATCATTGTAGACAAATGCCGAATCACCAACTTATCTGCGGTATTTGCAAACATTTTACCTTAATACGGGCATTTGTTTTATTCTTTATAAAATAGTGTTTAAAGAATTATCCTTGGGACACGGCAAAAAGCAACCTGATTGATTATTTAATGCGAAGGATAAAAAGTTGAAAACCCATGAGAAAAATGGATTTTTCATCCTTATTTAAGCAATAAGTAACGGTTCATAAGAAGAATACAGTGGAACACAACAGAGCGAAATGAATCACGATTACCGAAACCAAATGCTAGTAATTATCCAACAATGATGATGCTGTAAATATTGATATCATTATAAGGCCTAATTTTCTTAAGGTTGTAGGCGGTTACGACTCTACATGTGTCCTTTGGAGTTTTAAGCTATAAACTTCTGGTAAAATAAAGGATTCATCTTAAAATTTCAGGAAATATTTGAAACAATTTACTGATTTTCTGTTGGTAATCGAATTAATATTATTATTAAAAGTAACAATAATCATCGAAATTTCACGTTTTCTGTTGTTAAAATTTAAGATTTTTGCAAATTTATAAGAAACCATAAAATGAGTAATACCGATGAGAAGAGAACATGTTTCTCAATGGTATTCTTTGCTATACATTAACCACTTCAAACTTCATTTTTCAATCTCCCATGAGCCACTTGTAATCTTCAATCGTTGTATGTTTATAATTTTCCCAAAGCTGAAGTAGATTAATTAACTGAAACAAAATTACTATTTGGAAGCTTTTATTTTATTTTTTTTTTTTTTTCATTCTTTCCTTTCTTTTTCTCTACTGCTTCGCAAATCTTCGGGATAGACAAATTGTGCGCACCTCTAATAATCTTTGCGTTATATTTCAAATCTCTAAATTGATTGTACGATGTTTTTACAGGCATTAAATTATGCGTTTGATTTTTGTGCAAAGTGTAAATTTTTTTTTCGATTTTTCACCTTCAAGTCTGGAATTTTTTCCAGCCAATCTGGACTCAAAACAGGCACTGAAGAATTATCTATTAAAAA